GTATTAGGTATTATACTATAGAAAAAATATTTAAATAAAAGGCTTTATAAAAATATAATAACAATAATAAAAATAATAATAATAATAATAATGATAATAATAATAATAATAATAATAATAATAAAAATAATAATAATAATAATAAAAATAATAATAATAATAATAATAATAATAATAATAATAATAATAATAATAATAATAATAACAACAATAGTATTAATGATGATAATCATGATGATGAGGAGATGCTGTTAATCAGGCCCGTATCCAGGTTGGTTTTTATGGTCCGGGAGAACCCCCTTTTCTAGCAAACCCCCTCTTTTCTGGCGAAACTCCCTCTTTAAATTTCCCAAATAAGTCCTCCAACTAAACTAATGCACTGTAGGACCACCCAGACACAGACATTTTCAAACATATCTGCTTTTATAGCATTATTTAGACTCATAAAGCACAAAAATCCTCTTGCTTTGGGGGTTTCGTCGACCCCACCGGGGCTTCGACTGTGGACCTCACGCCCAGAAAACTCCCCCTTGGAAGAACCTGGCTACGGGCCTGGTAATGACTATGATAATGAGAATGATGATAATTCCAACAATAGGCCTAGCAATAACAACAATTACAATAATAGGATGATAATGATAATGATGGTAATGAATATGATGATGATGATGATGATGGTGATGGTGATCATGATAATGAAAATAATAACAACAACAACAACAACTACAATAATAATAATAATAGTATTTAATAATATAATTATAATAAATAATAATAATAATAATAATAATAATAATGACAATATATATAATAATAACGTACCAACGTAAAAAAGCTGATGATTCAAGACCACACTAGATTAACATTGATAACTTTGTAAAATTTAATGAAAAATAATGAAAGTTTATAGCCAATGAAGATAGGAGATTAACCTTGGTAGGACAAAGATCAATTTCATAAGACCACACGGGGATATGTAAACCAGTACAGGTGCAACGACAAGTAAGAAGGGAACACATACCAGGTTCGATCTACCTGAGTAGATAAACCTGTGTCATACCAAGGAATTGTCAATCACGCATCACGCCCCCTACAGGTTTTCAGATACATTTCAAGAAACGAAAGTTATCTCAGAAGGTGAATTTAAACCCGTGAACAAAAGCTTTACAGCTATTGCTGAGTTTATTTAAAACTACTTCCATTTATATTGATTCCGGTAGTATTTAGATGATTAAAAACTAAATTATATTTATTTATTTATATATTTTAAACATAGTTATAAAGGATACAATTTCAGACAAGATGTACTTTAACAGTTCTAGTTCTTCTAGAACTGTTTAATCGATAATAAGCCAAGCAAGAGTTGATTTAAAACTCTCTGCAAGCTTTCGTCGATGGTCGATGTTATCAACATGAATTCGTCCAGCTATGTGAGCTAGCAATTGTTGTTTTTGGTATTGTATGAAAAACAAAAACAAACATTGTGCTTTGTTTGATTAAACAGTTCTACAATTATTATTAAGCAATATATTCCTAGTATTGTTTAAGAGAATTATAAAATATAAAAATGAATACAACAAGAATGGTCAACAGCACAAACATCACAAACCCCTTCAAAAACATTTAACAAACTTATCAAGTATCTCCACAAACAGTTTGCAGTTAATACAGAATATAGTTTGTCCAATCGAGTATTCAAGTATATTTATTTATAAAAAATAGTAGTAAAATATACTGAATTGCATTGATGTTTACATTAAGAAATACAATCAAATTACAACGAACAACCAAGCAGCAAAGTAACCACATTAAAATACACACAAAATTTTAAAATACCAATAAAACAACAATAAGGAAAGGAAAAAATAGTAAGATAAATAGATAAAATGAAAAATTGCACAAGACAGTAGACACGGCAGTTTATTAAAATTAAGGGGGAAATCCAATAAAATTGCACAAGAAGTTGAATGTACAAACAATAAAAAAAGAATACACCAATATACAAATAAAAAAAAAAGTTCCTGCCTTTCAAGAAGACTTTAAATTTGGAATTTTTTCTTACAATGCCAACAACAATTTTATTTAAATTATTTACTTTATTAAGAAATCTAGTAAGGTCAATTAGTGGGCTGTCCTGAAAGCGTTTCGTTCGGGACCTTCCTTCCACAAATGGTTTACTTTGTCGCAATGACTTAGAGTATTAGCCATTATTTTCTTGGAACCAATGAGAGAAAGATTTGATTTCAAATATTTGACACAGATTTTCTTTTCTGTCACTAAGTCGATTAAGTTTATATTTATCAAGTGCATCATTATAATGTACATACTCTTTAACCATAATAATTTTACAGGCCGTTTCTGTTTTGATTGCCGAATCAATCAATCAATCAATTTAAAAATCACACAAATTACAAAACAGAATGAATAGAGACCAAATCGAATATCAATCTCATCCTAAATATTGTTCCTCTTAATAAAATAATAGTACGGTAATTTTAATGTAATTATTAAATAATGTAAAATATTATTCTTATATTTTCATGATTGTGAAATTGTTTCTTTGTTGATTGTTTTGTAAAATAATAATAATACAAAAACGCTGAGTCAGTAGATCACAAACAAATTTCATTCAGAAAACAGACATATATACACACATATATATAGGCCCATATAGCTCCTATATATATATATATATATATACATATATA